ATGCATCCAGTGGGCAAGTTAGACCTCCTGATTATACAAAGGGGAGCCCCATGTGAGTCAGAAGTTCCCAGTCCTGCTGAGCACAAGGTCAACAACACTGAGGTTAAGAAGATGGCCATCCAGGTGCATGGTATCTCCCAGGCTTTAGCTAAGGAAGGTTCAAGATGTGTGGCTGTGAGACCAACATATGGCATAATGGTTACATTGCTGAGCTCCCATGAAGTGGACTGCAGTTTGAGTCCCAGACCCAGTGGCTTAAACCTCACACCAAGCATATGTGGGTGCATGCCTAAAATCCCAAAAGGAGAATGAAAGAGAAGGGATTGCGGCATGGCCATCCACCCAGGGGCAGAGGGCGGGTGGGAAAAAAAAAGATCCATGGCTATTCTAAAGCAGCAGATCCAACAGGCTGCTTGAGGGCCCCTGTAACTGACTAATATGGACAGTGGCTGAGGGGTGTAACCCCATATGTACCTGACAGGCTTGAACACTTGAACAACTGAGCTCCAAGTGCACATGAGGAAGGTCCTGACCTATCAAAAGGAACTAAGAGGACTTGGTTCTTTCCTCTCTAAAGGCCAAGCTGCTGACCACTACTAAATATTATAATGAGGAATTATAGATTAAAAAATGCAGGAATAAAATATAAAATGGACTATGAAGCCCACATATTAGTGGGAAATTTTAGATTTCCTGCTACTCTCCAAGTTTTCTCAAATAATTATAGAAACAAATAAAAATACCAGATTATATAGCTTTAAATTGTAAAAGTTAAGGGCCAGTAGGTGGCATGGTAATAAAGGTAGCTGTAGCTCACATGGCTGACTGCACAGTTCGAGTCCCGGACCTGGTAGCTTGAAAAATATTGGGCCTGTGTGTATATATTCCCAAAATCCCAAGAGAAGAATGAAGGGAAAGGGAATGCCATCCTCCCTGGAGGGTGATTTCTCTCTCTCTCCCTTTCCAGCAAGCACACACAGTCTATAGCAAAACTAAAGAAAAAAATTTTAATAGTTAGAATAGTTATGATAATCGATAAAAATATCACTTGGAGTCTATTAATCCCTATCCCTTTATTCACTATCCCATTAGAGAAGCATTTATTAACACCAGTTGTACACCAGGTCCTGTGCTTGATGCAGGAGACAGTTGGCAGCATAACTGTGTCTAAGTGGTAGGCTATTGGGAAGCCAAGGATACCCCTGACACTCTGAGGAGGGTCTGAGCAGAGGCAACTTCCCCCACGGAAATGACTTGGAGCAGTAACTCGAAAGTTTAAAAATTGGAGGTTTTAAAATCAGACCTAAGGACAAAGAGCATTGCACCCACAACATTGTGTGATGAAAAGAATATGCTGATTTGTGGGAGCTGCAAGGGATGTGGGGGACAGAGAGCAGTCAAGGGGGAGGGTGATGATGTGAGTCTGCAAGGGTCACATGGGTCATATTGGAAGACCCTTCTAAACCCATTCAGGGAGTTTAGACTGAAGGAAGGGCCAAGCCCTTGAAGGGGAAAAGATATAATTAGATTTTCTCTAAAGGAAACGGTCTCATGAGCAATGTGGAAGACAGATGGTGGAGGGGCCAGGCTGGGGGGCTGAGCTCAGCCAGAAAGCCAAGCAGATGGAGTCACTGGATTGGGGGGGAGGGGTGGAGAAGAGAGAAGCAGATCTTTTTTATAAGCAGTGAAGAAGATGAGAGTGTTTGGGCTGGCCCTTGGGTGCTAGCGCTAGTGATGGGGAAGATGGTAAAGAAACTGTTTTCCCCATGCAGAGGGTAAACCAGAAAAACCATTTATAACAAGAGATGGAAATGGAAGTTGAGATTAACTGAAGGAGGGGGCTGGGGACTAGTGGTTAGGCCTGAAGGAAGCAGGACAACAGGGAAATCCTCCAGAAGAAATAAGAGCAAATACTTAGAAAATGAAAGATCGTGACCTGAGAACTTCTGTGTTGTGTGCTGTTGGTAGAGAATCAAAAGTGACAGCTGGAGCTGGAACATTCACCATGGACAAGCCAAGGACGGTCAGCCTGGGCTTTTGGTGTAGTAGGAAACACTGAATGGGTTTTGAGTAGAGATAAGACAGCTGGTTCAGGCAAGAGATGATCCAGGCATGACTGGCTAAGGCAGGGACTCAGATAAAAGATGCACAGGACCGTGGAGATGTGTCCTATGGCCAGGTGAGCCCCCTTGATGACTATCTTTCTATTCCCAACAGAACTAGCTGCTCTGGGGGCACCTAGCCTGGTACTGTGGAGAGATGTAGGTTGAATATGGTGTGGGCCCGCCCTCAGGGAGTCACAGGCAGAGGGGGTTAGAACATCAACTTATGTATGCAGCTGGTAACTGCTGCAGCTGAATGAAGTATATTCCCCTGTGGTGACACAGTGGAGGCAGAGATAGGTCCTGCCTTGGAAAGGGGAGGGAGTCTTCCTGAAAGTCTGGACTCAATCTGGAGAGGGGAGGTTACCAAGCCAAGGAGGCTTTCTGGGGATGTGAGAGCATGTAGAGTGAGGAGGGGGAAAGATGCTGTGAGTTCCAGAATTGTGGTGGTTTTCTGAGGCTGGGATTGAGGGAAGGAAGGCATAGCAGGAGAAGTAGTGGAGCTCAGATGAGGCAGGTGGGCCAAGGAGACACCGAAGAAGACACTGTGATCCAGGCTGAGGCACTGGTCAGCACATGGCCAACGAATACATACTCATCTCTCTTCTACCACCCCGGGTGTGCTGCCTGAGGTGCTATTGAATCAACCCATGTTTTCTAACCTTTCTACAAAGGAAAGTTGAAATGACCCAGGAAGAAGCCCAAACCAGAGTTGAGAGAAGAAATCATTCCAGTCACTTAGGTGAAGCCAGTGATAGTCTCTGGCAAATTAAGGGGAGGGATAAATAATTGAATACCATTTCTCCATTCTTATAGCATTAGTGTAGCAAACACAAGATAGATTAATACACTGTTCCAAAACAATTGAACTGCAATAATTGTACAGGACACATTTAATATGAAGCAGAGGATAGAAAAGTTTCTTTTCATCTTGAGTAAAGACATTCTAACCATCAGAAGCCAAGGAAATACCTCCATGACATAATTAGCCAGTTGTGAAGTCTGGCTAACTGTGAATGTTCCTCTCTGTGACCAGGAAACCAGGAGGGTCTGTGATGAGGCACGATCTTGTCAGCTTAACGAGGCCCGTTAATAACCCACTGGCGTTTCTATTTTCAAAATTGTCTTCTGTGTCTAATGGTATTGATGAGCCAGGCAAAAATCACTTGCTGCCCTCTAAATGGAATTCTAAATCTTCTCTCATAGGAGATTACACATGCTGTGACTTGGTGGTAAAAATAAAGGAATGCAAGAAGAGCGAGGACCCCATCACACCTGAGCCTTCACCAGCATCCCCCTCACCAGCACCTTGTGAGGAACCAGAGACCCCTGATCTCTCAGAAGACTGTTCTGAGCCTCAACAAATGCCTGCACACTCCTTGACCTTGCAGGTAAGGCTGTCCATGCATCCTGAGGCTAGAAACCGGACTCTCCTTCATCGAACTCACGTGACTGTGATCAGGTTCCTAATCTTTCTGGACCTCAGTTTCACTGTTTAAATAAAGAGAGACAATAAAATTGACTCTGCTAGAGTCCGAATGAGGCTCAAATACTATCAGTAGTGAACATGCTCTTGGCAAAAACAGGTGCCCAGACATTACACAGGTCACTTCATAAACAGCAGCACCTTAGATCCTTGAAAGACCACTAGGAGGCAGGAGCTCCTGTAAACTTTGTCATCAGATGAGAACACTGAGCCTTTGAGAGATTAAGGAAGTTCCCCAAAATCACATTGACTATAAGTTGAAGGATACAGAAGCTTTCATTTGGTGTTCCCCACCCCCAATTCTAGCAGTAATGCATACACACTTTTTAAAGTTCAAAAAATGGAGAGAGACAAAAATTAGGAAAGCATAGAACCTCAGATAACAGTGTTATTTTATAGCCAACTATACTTTCTTCAAAGGTACTTAACAAGGTTGTAAAACTGCCTGCTAACATGGGGATGGCATGGGGATGGCTCCACTGGCCGACTCCTATACCCCTGGGGAAGACAATAATGGTATCCCCAGAACAACCCGAATTTCTAGGACTATCTTCTAGCATAAAGGCATCAAAGGCAGTGGCCACGCCTGGGCCTACAGGCTATTTCCAGGGGCTGCCTCTCTAGACCTGGAACTCTCCCGGAGTTTCAGTAGACCCAGAGACTTGTGCCTTGTAGTACCAGGTACCTGCTGGTTAGCACCATGGGAAGAAATGGCTAAGAAAACTGCCTTCCCAGCATAGCTTCCGGGGTATACCATCAACACAGATGGAACCCCTGCTCCCCTGCTGCTGGAAACTCTGAGTTCCCAGGGCTGGAAGAACAGACAGGAGGATTTCTGCCATCCAACTCCCAGTGAGCCTAGGCTGAGCACCCTCTCTGTGCAGCACTCAGGTTTGTGCCTGAGAGAGACAATGTCAATGAGACATGGCCCATTACCTTCCCAAAGTTCTTAGCCTGGCACAGTGATAACTGTGTGCAAATCGCTCTTGCACAAGGTGGTCCGTGAAGTGCCAGAATGCTTAGGCTGAGCAGGGAGATTCAATAGGGATTACTGGGAGAGATGGAGCCTGGACTCATGGGTGTAGCTGTGGGTGATACTGCAGGCAGGGGAAAAGCTTCAAGATCATTCGGGGAACAGCAAGTTAAGACAATGAAAGGCAATATAGGAAAAGCATGGGCCTCACACCTGGGGGTCACCATGTGGTCTGTCAAACTAGTTCAAGCCTCAGTTTTTGACAATCCCCTATCATATAGGAATAAATGTGCCTGCCTTCCAGAATTAATGTAGGGGATTTCAAGAGATAATGAGTATACATAGAGTGCCTAGCTCAGTGTCTGGCATGGAACAGAACACTGCCGATGGTGGTTAGTCTTTTCCATTTTACTTGGATAATTGGAAATTAACAACTCAACAGGTTCAAAGGCTGAATGGACAGATGATTGTTTTGCACTCAGTCTCAGTACTAAGTTATTGGTTGAATCTGTGTAGCGGGGCCATTGGTGCTGACAGGACTGACCACCGGGACCTGAGTCATCAACATATCTGTTACTGTCTTTATATGAGGTAGTAGAAGAAAATTGTGATGTGTTTGCACTGTGGCTTTTAGTCTCTGAGTGCTGCGCTTTCAATTGGCTTCTGGGCCGAATTAGATGTATTATTGCCTTTTGGTGTCAGTTCTCTTCAAATTAACACAGTTTCTTTACTCCAACTAGGAAGCACTGGAAGTCCGTAAACCTCAGTTCATTTCTCGATCACAAGAACGGCTAAAGAAGCTCGAACACATGGTCCAGCAGAGAAAATCACAGCAAAAGGAGAAGCTGGGGCAAAAGCAGAGCCTCCTTCCTGTCCGTGCCAACAAGAAGCAGTTCACCATTCCCCATCCTCTTAGTGGTAAGTTGCTGGTGTCTCAGGAGGACTAGAGGAGACTAGGGTGGGGTCCTCAGGGCTAGAGCCTTCACTAGGGAAA